CTACGAAGCAAAACTGTATTTTAATTATGTTACCTATTTTTAAGACGGTTTTATCAGACAGAGCCGTTTCTTTTCTATTTATTCTTATTAAATATAACTTTTAAAATCATTTTCCAATTGTTTAAATCGTTGTTTCTATTTTCTTTCATGTGCCGTGTCTCTTCAGGATATAGATAATCATGGCTCTCCATAATTTTCTTTCTTTTCTATCTCTTAATAAATTATATCGTTTTGTTGTCTTTCCTAAAACTTGTTCCGCCATTCATTTACTTAAACTCGCTCGGTAGCTTACGCCTTGATTGATTCTGTCCCTCTTGCATTCAATCTGTCCTGTGAGTATCAAATTTTTCAAGCCCTCTTTCCTCATTATGTGCCTTAGAAACTCTAACGATCACTTCCTGGGTTAAAAGTGTCCTTTTTTTTTGTTTACGCTTTCTCTAAAGCGTCGTCATTGTTCATATGTTCTGTCGATAATATTCTCAGCATCCTCCCGTAGAACCAAGTAACTATAAAATCATTTGTGCATTTTTCACAACCAGAGATTGATATAACTGGTAATATCTGTTGTACCCAATTTAATATTCAATATTTTTGGATTATTTCCATTTCGAATATTTTCAGTGGCACTGTTTACATTAACCTACACAATTTTTAACGTTTCACATTATCACCGTGTTCAGCAAGTATATTTTCCAATATGTTTCAACCCATCAATCTTTTTATCGAAATTATTTTCACGCCAATGCATAACATGTATTATAATTTTACCCAGAGCTTCTGTCTTAGTTTTCTTGTTTGTTTGTTTTTTATAAATATTTAAACTGCCTATTCTAAGTATTTTATCGCATTTAAGGGGTACGTAAACGTAACACCCTCCTTATTCGGGTTCATTCCAAATCAGAAGTGGCGATTTCCAACACAGGAACGTCTCTAAGAACATGAATCATATTTAATGCTCACTATAAAATCTGCTATGGATAATAAAATTTAAAAGAATAATCTGGTATTAATTATAGCTTTGTATTCAGTTCGGATTTCCCTGTAGATTACCCAGATCGATACACACGTGAGGAAGGCCGAAGGGCACAACGACTGAAACGTTGTGGTAAAAACAACAAAGATAAGGACAATAGTCTGAATATAAATTGTATTGGTTTACATGGTACAAGAGGGATGTAAGAGACTAGAAAAACGACAACGTTCTTCTATATTAACAAGCGTGGCATGGTGGCAAAGAGATATTTGTCAAATTATATAGTCATCGGAGAGATAGCAGAGATGGAGCCATGCTTTCGCCAAATATATAGTAACATGTAAAATCTAAGGAAGAATTGAAGTTAGCTTTCTGATTTTTATTTCATTACTAAAGTCCGTCATGTTAATGGTAATAGAAATAATAGCTATTTCTTTATAAGGAAATATTCGGCATTCATAGAGCGAGTACTTTCAGTTGAATTATCGTATTTGACGGCATATAAGACCCACTAACCCACCCCAATTTCAGCAGGACAAATCAAGAAAAATATTAGCAGTTAGTAAAATTATTAGTAAATGGTACAGTCTAGGCTATATTTATGAGGTATTATTTCGGTTAAACTCGCCATGATTACAATTAAACGAAAAATAATAAGAAAAAAAGAACACGAGCCTATAAAAAGTTTATTATATCCAAAGGTAAGAAAACAATATAAAAATCAAGCAATTGTTACAATTGAGCAAGAAAGTACAGTTACTATTAAAATTTTATTCATCTACAAGTCCATAAAATTCGTCGTCTTCGTTATCAAATCTCTGATACTCATTTTCAATACTATTATCAGGGAATAATTAGGATATAAAAATTCTGATTGTATTTATACAAACGCAACCAGACGTTATCGCAAGAAAATATTATTGACACAAATATTTTTTACAAATATATAATTTGAATTTATTGCAAGTAATTTTAGTGAAACAAAGTACTAGTATTAAACGTGATGAAATTAATATAATCAATTTTTATCAGTGATAACACTTATAATCTGCATAATATCCTTTTAAATACTGACAATAGGTATATGAAATTTACTCTAAAGTCTAAGCTAATAAGAGTTTCCAGGTAGCTAATTTCTGGCGACTAAATTTTAAATTCTGGTATATAAGTCACAAGGGAATTTTAAAAGATATTTTTAATAAAAAAAAAACAAAAGTGCGCCTTATAAGCCGTCAGATACAGTATATAAAATCTTTCTATTAAGGTATTTTTTTTTCAGGAAGATGGGTATCCACTAACTGTTATTGCTCTTTCCAACATTGATGCTTAATTTTCCTAACCATTTTCAGAAGTAATGTGGAACGTCAACATCTTCATCATTATTTTCTCGTGGAGTTACATGTACTACTTGTTTTAATTTTTTGCAAGTCGCCAATTCATTTCGCTTCTGTTATGTTGTACAGTACTTTGTTTATGAACCTGTAACGCGAGTATTCAAAATTGGAAGAAGGATGATCCTCCGTAAGACCTACAGGCTTTATTAGCACGAAGCCATCTTTAAGCAATTTTTAATCTGAGAAATTGGTTACATAGAATTGGCAGTTTAGATATTTCTGAACAAGTTTGGAGATATGGATGACATAGCATCTCCCAACTCCCTCTGTATTTATGTCGTATTTAGCTGCGTACAGCACCATTAATTTAGTGAATACACGATATAATTTCTTGCTAGAATCTCATCTAACAATTGCAGTTCATGTTTCTGTATTCAGTGACGGCTCTCTCCTAACGCCTACTTGTAAAACCATCGATACTCCTAGTTCACACCTACTTCTATGCCTATAATCACAAGTTGTCACTCATCAAATGATACAAATGTTCACGAAATGGAGAACAGATACGTGAGCCTTTTCTTATTGTTACAATTCGATAAAAAAAATCCTGTCGTATGATTAAAAGGTAGGGTGACGAAACTAAGGTAGAAATTTCGATAAAACGTTCTTGAAAAATTGAAGGTATACGTGGTGGGTAGAGAAGAAAAGAAAATTAGTTTTTTTTTTTTTTCATTCATTTTCTTTATTGTTCATCTTGTTTTTCTTTTGTTTCGGACACTTTAAAATGTTTGTTTGGTTTTCTCTCTAGTCACCATTGCGTAATTCAAGCCGCTGTCTTACTTCGCTTTTGTTTCCATTACTTCATTCTTTTAATTTTAAATTTTATTTTTTTTATTTTTTGCTAATTTACCTTCAGTGTCTTTTTCTGTTATTCATTCTCGCTTCTTATCTTTGTTTTTCTGTCTTTCTTTTTCCTTAGAAAATCTATCCTTCGTTTTCTCCTCCTTTTTGCAATCTTAAATTCTATCCTTTCTGTATTCTATTGAAGATATTTAATTTTCTTTTTTTTTATCTGTGATTCTCTTTTTATTTTTCATTCTATTCTGTGCTTTCTTTCTTTTAACTTTACCTCAGAACATTCTTATTTTCTTGTATAACATCCTGACTGTCATTTTCTTTCTTTATTTCTTTCTTTCCTTCTTTCTATCCTTCTTTATTTCTTTCCTTCTTTCTTTCCTTCTGTCTTTCTTTCTTTCTTTCTTTCTTTCTTTCTTTCTTTCACTATATTCTAATGGTCTTATCATTTTTATTTTCTATTTTCTTCCTGTATATGCTTATTCTGTTATATTCGTCACTCTCATTTTCTTTCTTTCTTTCTTACATTCTTTCTTTTTTTCTTTCTTTCTTTCTTTCTTTCTTTCGCCCTATTCTCATTCTCTTTTATCTCATTCATCACTTCTATATTCCTTCTTTCTTTCACTACATTGTAACACGCTTATGTCTCATTCAACACATGTTGTATAATTTCATTCATTCTTTTTCTTTTTTCGCCATATTCTAATTCTCACATCTGATTCATCACTCTCATTTTCTTTCTTTCTTTCTTTCTTTCTTTCTTTCTTTCTTTCTTTCTTTCTTTCTTTCTTTCTTTCCCCACATTCTAATTCTTTTATATCTCATCCATTAGCCCCGTTTTCCTTCTTTCTTTCTTTCACTATTGTCTAATTCTCGTACATTTCATTCATAACTTTCATTTTTTTTCTTTCTTTCATTTTATTTTTATTCTCTCTTTCATTACTCTCATTTTCTTTCTTTCCTCCATTTTTCTTTCTTTCTATCTTTCTTTCTTACTTTCACCACATTCTAATTCTTTTATATCTCATCCATTAGCCTCGTTTTCTTTCTTTCTTTCTTTCTTTCACATTTTTCTAATTCTCGTACATTTCATTCATAACTCATTTTCTTTCTTTCACTATATTTTTATTCTCTCTTTCATCACTCTCATTTCCTTGCTTTCTTTATTTCTTTTATACATTTTAAATCTCTTATATCTTATTCATCACACTCATTTTCTTTATTTCGTTCACTATATTCTTATTCGCTATTAAATCATTCAACACTCTCATATTATTTCTTTCTTTCGCCATATTCTAATACTTATATTTCATTCATCACTTTAATTTTCATTCTTTCTTTCACTATATTCCAAACTCTCTTATATTTCATTTAACACTCTCATTTTTTTTCTTTCCTTTTTCTGTCTTTCACCATGTTCTTATTCTTTTATATCTCATTCATCATTTTCATTTTCCTTCTTTCAATACATTCTAATTCTCTTATATCTCATTAATTACAGTCATTTTCATTATTCATTCGTTCTTTCTTTCTTTCGCAATGTTATTATTCTCTTATAACTCATTCATCATTCTCATTTTCCTTCTTTCTTTCTTTCATTCATTCATTCTTTCTTTCTTTCTTTCTTTCTTTCTTTCATTCATTCATTCTTTCTTTCTTTCTTTCTTTCTTTCTTTCACCATGTCTTTATTCTCTTATCTCGCATTCATCATTCGTATTTTCCTTCTTTCTTTCTTTTACAACATTCTAATTCCCTTATTAACTAATGTCATTTTTTCCCTTATTTCTCATCCGCTACCTTCATTTTCTTTCTTTCTTTCTTTCTTTCTTTCTTTCTTTCTTTCTAGTTTTCTTTCTTTCTTTCTTTCTTTCTTTTTTTCTTTCTTTAATAGACCTTATCTTCTATGTTAACCAGCACTTGATTGTATAAATTTTCCTTTCATTTTCATCCATTGATTTCATTCTTAAAAATATGTCTTTCTTTCCTTCCTTCCTTCATTCCTTCATTCTTTCTTTCTTTTTTTCTTTCTTTAATAGACCTTATCTTCTATGTTAACCAGCACTTGATTGTATAAATTTTCCTTTCATTTTCATCCATTGATTTCATTCTTAAAAATATGTCTTTCTTTCTTTCCTTCATTCCTTCATTCTTTCTTTCTTTCTTTTCCTTCTTCTGTACACTTATCTCTTATTTACTATGATAAAATGAACTAAACAACAAATAATCTATTATTAGCTTGCACGCATTCTTTTTCTCATTTTCTTTTCCTTTTTGGTACACTGTCTATTTTTCAGACTTTCTTTTTTTTCTTTCTTTCTTTGCTCTTATTACCCATTTACTATAATATAAAATAAAGAATAAAACCTCCATTACTTGCATGTGTGCACGTACAAACGTATGTATATTTTTCTCTGCCAAAACATGTCTCAAGACATCTGATATTGCAGCCTCAGGTAATTACTCTTTTGGTCGTCTGATCTGTGAGTAGCTTCGCTTGAGACTCGAAAAGGTCCGTATCACACCGGCTGCATAAAAATAAGGTCCCGTCGATTGTTCTTTCCAGCGTGAAATCGAATGAACATTTTTTTTTTACCCCCAAAGGTAAAACACTTTTTCTTTTTTCTTAAATAGGTGTACACCAAGAAGAATAAATAAGCACGTCGTATAGACGCGCATAGCATAAAAAAGACACCCTGTGCTGAAAATAAAACACGTAATGATCTCTGTGGCGAGCGGTTTGTCTCAGGCGTGTGTTTGAAATCTGATATGGAACCAACAACTTGATCTGAAGAAAAGGCCAATCGGTCGGCGCTGTCCAGGTTAAGGTACGACGCTTTTCTTACAAGTTTGAGGCTCGGAATTCATACCACTTGAATACTCTTGGATACTAGAAGTGGGGACAGTGTTTACGCTACTTTAACTAATGAACACACAGACACACAAGCAAACACAAAATCACACGCACACTATAGTGATTTTCCAAGCGTAGCTTAGATATTTCACAAGGCCGAAAGTAAGGGAGGACACAGTGTGGATCGAAATCACTACTCAGTCGTATTTATTCTAAAGAGACAAGCTTGCTAACCATTACATCGCCTCGAGGTGCCCTATCACACGCACGCTATATAGTGTAGCGCGGTATTTTACCAACCGCCTTTCGCAGACCGATTCGTTAGCGCAAAGAATTCAGTTTTCAGTAGGTGAAGAAACCTTAACGGAGTGCGCAAGCCTAATTTAAGGCTTCTTCTTCTTCTACCTCCTCCTCCTCCTCCTCCTTCTTCTTCTTCTTCTTCTTCCTCTCCTTTTCCTTCTTCTTCTTCTACTTCTTCTTCTTCTTCTAACTCCTCCTCCTTTTCCTTCTCCTCCTTCTTATTCTTCTTCTTCTACCTCCTCCACCTTTTCCTCCTCTTCCCCCCTTCTTCTTTTTCTTCTTCTTCTTCTACCTCCTCCTCCTTTTCATCCTCCTTCCCCTCCTCATCCTTCTTCTTCTTCTTCTTCTTTTTCTTCTTCTTCTTCTTCTTCTTCTTCTTCTTCTTCTTCTTCTTCTTCTATCTACCTACCCAGTCCGTTCTGGACTTCAGCGATCACGTCACTCTGCAATTTACTGTCCTTTGTAGCTCTTAATATATATTTATCCTTTTTTAATCTCTCTCAAATCTTATTTTGCCAACCTTATACTCAAGCCCGATAGGTAGGTTATACGTTGTTCTATTCTGTTACTCTTCCCTTCAATCTGTGCTGCGCGTACGAAATTTTCAAAGCCCATTTTTCTCTTTTCTAAGAAGTTCAACTTCCTTTTCTTGATGTTAATCATATATTTCATTTTATTTTCCATTTTCTTTAAAATTTTGGCTTTATTCACATGTTCGCCCCATCGTATTCTCTACATTGTTCTGTAGAACCAAATAACTTTTGCATCAAGTCTTTGTCATACCTGATGAGATTGACTAGCATCCACAATCATATTAGAGGACTGATATTACACGATAGTTCAGTTCTTTTCCTTTCATTTCTAACGAAATCTTCCTGTTTTGTTGTTGTTTGTTTGTTTTTTTTTAATATTTGCTTAGCATTTGTAAAGACTTTCGCTGTCTCAGTGCATCTTCGGATTTCATTGTTGGATTTTTCGTCCTTATTCGTAATTTGCTTGAGCTTTAAATATTTTGTGACTTTTATTTAATGATAATTTGTTTTGATACTTAATTTCTTTTACTACTGAAACATATTCATTGTTAGTATTTTACAACAGATAATTGGTTTTCATTCTAATTAGTGTTTTTATTATTGATAAATGTTTATTTTAAATACTTAGTGATGATGGCTATCGTTAAATATTTGTACTATTTTTTTTCACTAATGATTTCAATTTTATTGTTTTAATTAGGGGCTTTTAATACTGGAAATTCATTTTGATTCTAATTCTTAGTTCATTTTACTAATGTTATTTTCTTTTAAATATTATATGTATATCTTTACTATTGGTTCATAGAAATGTTTGTTTTTTAACCACACCTCGAACACCATGTTCTGCCATCGATACTACATAAGTTCTTATTACGTAGGTTACTTGGTGTATTCCCCCTCCCTATTTTTAGTTTTAGTCCAGTGCGTATCACATTTTTCAAGAATTCATTCCATTATATTTATTTCGGAAATTCCAACTGTCTCTTAATGATTGTAAGTATAACTTTCCGTTCTGTTTCCATTTCCTCGTTGCTCACATGAACTGTGCATGGCATCCTCAGCATCCTTCTGCAGACCCACATTTCCGCTACTTCAATTTTCTTCAACATCAGTGAAGAAATTTTCCAACATTTCAATATAGAAGGCTTGATATCACATAGCAGTTGACTACTCTTTTCTTTGTTTCTAACAAAATTTTCCCGTTCCTTAATAACTCAGCATTTGAAAGGCACCGTTCGCTATTTCAGTACGCCTTTGGATGTCACATTTTGCCGTTATCTCTTGAAACACTTCCACAGGTAGTTAAGTTTCTATATTCCGTCTATTCTGACATCTTCAATTCCTAGCTCGCATCTTCGGCTCTTCTAATTGTTTCTCTGTCCTCTTACAACTGGTGGTTAGTCATTTCTTCATGCTTTCCTTTACTGTTCGGACTACTACTATCGTGAAAAGGTTACATAAGTCCGGCGAGAAGACACCTCATTGTCTTACACCGTTTTATGTTTTGTGTACTTCGGTTTTAAATAACGCCAAGACAGTTGATAAGTGGTAAAAAAAATAATCAATCCGTCAACAATATTAAACAAAATGATCAAAATTACTTAAATAAGGAAGGAACCGAATGAATGTTCTCCGAGGACTGGAAGATGGGAGGACTCTGTTTCCGAGGCAGACTCGGATTTTTTTTCACGGGTGATAATAACAAGAGCATCTTCAGAACGGATGAACAGTTCTCTGCTTACGGCCATATCATGTTGAAACACTAGTTCTCGTACGATCACAAGTGAAGCAACGTCAAGCCTGGGCACTGCCTAGTTGGGTGACCGCTTGCGAATACCAGGTGCTGTTTGCTTGGATGTGCAGGTGATGTGATAAATGATGACTCTGAATTGAAAACCGAAGACCCAATTTCAATCAGGTCTGTTATGTACACCTACGCGTCAATAACCATGGAAAAGTTATGAATTCACCTTTTCTCCCCCAATCTATAGGTTAATTCAGTAGAATTTTTATTATCTCCCAAAAATTCTTAAAAATCTAGAAATATTTTCTGGTTTTATATAACCTGCAAAGGGTTTATAAGCCGTAAACAAATAAAGCAATCCACCGAAAAATTCCCAGCAGTATTTAAAAAAAAAATGGTGCTTACGTGTGATGTATAACGGAACCGTTGTTTACTGACATAAACGGCACTATATACGTGAACATTGTAGCAAAACATATCCTAGCTCAATGTTGATTGAATCTCTCAATGCACTATATAGAGCATACTGCAATATATTTAGCTTCCTTGTAGTCAAACAACAGCAGTACTCTTAAGGTGTCAGTTACTACGTTGCACGAGGACCAGGTAACATCGCCGTTGAACCGTATAAGGGTGGCGCCGTGTCACCTGGTCAGACGAATCAGGTTTCCAGCTCTTTAGAGCAAACGGTCGTCTTCGTGTGTGGAAAAAAAACGCATGACTATGTATCCAGCCTGTCAGTAAGGTGTTGTACAAGCTGGTGTTGACCCTGTAATCGTGTGGCGTGTGTTCTGTTGGATTTCAAAAGGACCACTAGTGAAATTGGAGTCTATCTTGACAGGTGTGACATACACAGATCTTGTTGCAGCCTGGTTGACACGAGGCTCGTTCCAGCATCACTCAGGTGACTTCCAATATTTTGAAGTGGACCCCACGCTCGCAACGTTATAGCATTTAAGCATATACGCGACATGTTGAAGACGTTCAATAAAGTTCCTTGTTGCAAACCTCAAGAAACAAAACTCTATTCGGTCCAGCTTTGAAAATAACGTTGTAGATTAATGCCGCGAAATGTAAATGTATTTATACAGGCTAAGGGAATATACACGCTGTCGTGTATTTAACTCGAATCATTTACAAATTCACTTAATATAAGCTGTTTGAAAAAAAGAAACCAGAAAAAGGGTCTCACATAGTTGGTTTTCTGTATTGCGCCAGAAGGTTTTTCTTATCTTGGTCCATCCTTCAAATCTACTAATCTATCAGTCATCCTTGCATTGAAAACTGTTGTTATATATGGTCTGGTACCTCTGTTATTCATCTCGAGGCCCTCGAAAAAATCCACCGACAGATAAGCAGTGTAATATATCCTGATCTGGCATCTCGTCTACAGTCACTTTCTCAGAGACGTGATGCAGCTTCCCTCTGTCTTTTTTACAGTTATTTTCATGGCAACTGCTCTGACGAGCTACTTTCACTCGTCCCCAAACTGCATGAATTTAAGTGTGGTACTTGGTTGACATCTCGGTCCCACCTTTTCACTGTCGAAACAGTTAAATGTAAAAGCTTTTACTCCAACAGCTTCTTCTCTCGCACTTCCCGGCAGTGGAACACCCCTCCTTTTACTTGCTTCCCTCATAGCTATAATATTCAAATATTCAATTGTAATGTCAATGACAAAATAATAGTAATGTGACCGAGTGATATAAGTAAAAATTATATAATACATTTTATTTATTAAAGACATTTTTATGTTTAACGTTCTTTTTTATAGATACAAGTATTTAAGTAAATGCTCTGTTTATAATAAACAGTATTAAATAACATTTACGGGCCTGGATGTAAAATATTCGTCCTTTGACAGGATTCGAACCGGCATCCTATACGGAACCGTTAATTTACGCTGACGTGCCTTGACCGCTTGGCCACAAAGGTTCGTTCGGTTGGCAAGGTTGAATTTACTGCTTATAAACTTCTATCTTCCATGAATCTCGTACATTCATAACTGCTCATGGCGTATCAAATGTAAACAAATGACGTCATACATTAAGAATTGGACAAAGTCCGACAATTTATTAAAGACATTTTATTTGTTAAACGTTAAACATAAAAATGTCTTTAATAATATATATATATATATATATATATATATATATATTGTTGAAACTTGACTAATGCATGGAATAATAATACAACACAAAATGTACTTAGAATAAAATGTATTGAAACAAGAAAGTGTACACAATATTTACATATAGTCTTTTTGTATATTCCTGGGAAGACCGTTCCTGGAGAATGGGTGGACTTAGTCACAGTCGGGCAGTCTCTGGATTGAATTTCTTGATTCCTGCCAACTCTCTTCTCGGTACCAACCATATTTATATAGTCGGTACTCCACTATGCAAATTAGGTGGATCTTACCACAACATATATATATATATATATATATATATATATATATATATATATATATATATAAAAGAAAAACAGACGACATTAAGGTTCCATTATAATAATTTGTTGTGATTTTGTTGTGAAATCTTGTACCGAACAATGTACAATTTCCATAGATTTTAATAGAGAAATGGTTCCTAGCCTGAATTGACGTTTTTTTCTTCTTCTAGACTGGCTACCAACCAAAGTGAGATATTCTATATTTTGAAAAGGATGTGAAATGAATTCGACCTTGACTCGGCCATTTCATTTTCAACGGCGAATGCCACTACATTAAGCGCATATTTCTTTCAATTTCTCTCTCTCTTGTTCTATCTCTCACCACACGCACACACACACACACACAAAACACACACACTCTCTCTCTCTCTCTCTCTCTCTCTCTCTCTCTCTCTCTCTCTCTCTCTCTCTCTCTCACACACACACACACACACACATATGTATATTATGTAAATGTTTGGATATCAGCAATCATTTACATAATCATGTTTGCATCTATGTAACTGCACGAGTTTCTTTATGATGTTAATATATCTGTATTTGTTACGGTTTTTCTTTCACGAGGATTAAATTTGAAAGCGTCTACAATCTGGCCAACTCATAATTCATATCAATATCAACTATTTTCCACACATGAATATGTTCCTTTGAGAAGTCGGTGAGAAGTCGGCTTTTAACTTAGCCGGCTATTATTTAGACATGTATCTGTATTAGTGGCGGGGTCAAATATTTATGTTGTATTTTAAGGAAGCTCTTTTCACTTAATCAGTTACGTGCTGTGTCATAAAATGTTGAAAGACCATTATTATGTATTTACATATTTCTACGTGTAAATCTGAAATATTATATTTGTATAATAGATGAATATAATTTCAGGACCCTATATATATATATATATATATATATATATATATATATATATATATATATATATATATATGTGTGTGTGTGTGTCTTTGTCTGACTATACAGGAAACGTAAAATTTAAGTAGCGGTACAATTTTTGTCTCTTTCTGTAAGACTGTGAAGCGTTTTTGTTCTGGCTTGATAACTTCGGCAGGAAGCACTTTTACCGTTTATTTTGGTTCCCGCCTTTTGGTATTTAGTTATTGTTGTTTATGCTTCATTTTCTTCTTATCATGTTTTTGTCTTGGATTTTGCATTATCCGTTTATTATTGGTGTTTTCTATTCAAACACACATACTCACACAAATTGTCTGACGAAGCGAAATATACAGCAAAAACTTCTAAATTTATAAACTCTTTCCTATTGTTCCATATTTGATGATTTAATCCATATTTTGGATTCACCCGCTCTTTTTTTTCTTTCTTTTTTTTTTCCTCCCTCCTTCCCTTTCTCTCTGTATATATATATATATATATATATATATATAATTTATTAAAAATTATATATATATATATATATATATATATATATATTAATTTATATATATATATATATATATATATATAATTTATTAAAAATTATATATATAAAAATATATATGAACGTTGAATAAAGACTTTAAACAGTTTCTATTCAAGTTTAAAGTCTTTATTCTACATTTAATATCGTCACATGATAAGACACCAGAAATATTGAAACAAAATGCCTATTTTTGTAGTGATCATATATATATATATATATATATATATATATATATATATATATATATATATATATATATATATATATTACCCTATTTAAATCATAATCCTTTCAAATTCACAAATATTTCCCGGTATATTACCATTGAATACGGCAAGAAATCGCCTGTAACAGTGAGAATCACTTTTATTTCCATAGTGATTCCCATCTCTTTCTGTCAGCCACAGCATTATTTAAATGCAAAAGAAAAAATAAATAATGGATACCTACATATACTTTATGCCTTAGCAGTTGTGTCCCTGATGATGATATCAGAAAAAGACTGAAAGTACTTGGGAAATAAAAGTGTTTCTCACTGTTACAGTACATTTCTTGGCTTTTTGAATTGTAATATATGGAAAAATATTCGTTAATATAAAAGGATTATGATAAAAATAAGCAGACATGTTTGTAATTTATTCAATCATATATATATATATATATATATATATATATATATATATATATAGTCGGTTTAATGTGAATGCAATCTTCATGTCAATTTCTTCCGTTCAATATGAAAGACTGTCGACGTTAGCTGCTGAGCTCTGTGTCCACTACTATATTTACATTCGCACTATACGTGATCACTTTTACCCATGAATCTAGTATACCGTAAAATATAATTTTACGATATATATATATATATATATATATATATATATATATATATATATATATATATATATATATAAGACGTTAAAGAGAGAGAGAGAGAGAGAGAGATCACTGCGCAACCTCGTAATGGGTGTAAGCATTTTTGTTACCACATATATGTATTTTTTTTTCTTATAATCTCTTTTTCTTTATATAATCCGTTTTTATTTTTCTCTTAATCGTTTTTTTTTACATTACAATTCACTTAGTTCAGTGGTGAATATTCATAACATATCTCCTAGAATATATTGTAAAAATTTCAGATTCAAATTCACCTCATATTTCTTTCACGAACCGTCAACTTGTGGAAGACCTATGTTTATATGTGGACGTATAAATATGTGTG